TTTGTAGATCTTATCTACACCCCCAGCAAAGTCAAATGTGCTCTGTCCGGGGTAATATTATTATATTGTATTGATAACATCATTGGAATATTCCAATTCAATGTACTCGTAATTTTCTACCTTTTCATTTAAGTACGCCTATCAATTTTAAGTAGCAATATGGGCGTTTTCTGTTTACCGAAATAAATTTTGTAAGTCTGTCTGCACTACGTAGAAGATTACACTAAGGGTCGTATTCTAGAACTCTACTCAATGCTCAAGTCAGGACTTGAGTATGATTCAAAGCACTAGAAATCATACTCAAGTCCTTGCCATTAGGGTCGTATTTCCAGTGCTTGAAATCATACTCAAGTCTGCTCAAATCCTGACTTGAGCATTGAGTAGAGATCTGGAATACGACCCTGAGGGTCGTATTCTAGAACTCTACTCAATGCTCAAGTCAGGATTTGAGTATGGTTTAAAGCACTCAAAATCATACTAAAGTCCCTGCCGTTAGGGTCGTATTTCCAGTGCTTGTGTTTCCAGTGCAATCCTAACTTGAGCATTGAGTAGAGTTCTAGAATACGACCCTGAGAGTCATATTCTAGAACTCTACTAAATGCTCAAGTCAGGATTTGAGTATGGTTGAAAGCACTCGAAATCATACTCAAGTTCCTGCTGTTAGGGTCGTATTTCCAGTGCTTGTGTTTCCAGTGCAATCCTGACTTGAGCATTGAGTAGAGTTCTAGAATACGACCCGAACCCAATAAAGTATTTTGACGTGTATAGTACAGTTTTGACAAAAATATCTAATTATTATTCACAGTAACATTTTTTCATAGATAATTGTAGCTTATTGACTTATATTTGTAAGTCAAAGTTGTAGCTGGTGGGTTTAAGATTTCTTTATTGACCGAGTCACGATAAAATAATGAAGAAACATGTAACAGTTAATATGAACCTGAAGTTTTGGCGACTTCGCCATTTTTATGTTTGATTTTTATAATAATAGTGACACTGGCTCAAGCTCCGTGGCCGCCATTAAGAAAATGGAACGAAAATGCATAATCCGGGACAAAATCGTACAAGATATATACCTATATGCAGCTGGTGAACGGGAACATTAATGTTGGGCTATTTTTGGAAATATTATTATTATTATCGTTTATCCGAAGTAGTTAAATTTGTATGATATCAAGCAACCGGACGAACAAGTCGTGCGCCTGGTGGTAAGCGACAACGCCTATTCTTAATAGTTGCAGTGCTAAAGGTCTGAGATGCATTACCACTGCGCCCGTCACCCTAAGAAACCTTAAAATGTCATATTATTATTTTATTATTAGAATGATTACTTATTTCAGACTTTTGTATTGTTTGAAAATTTAGTAGTGGCACGCCTGCCACGCCACAGACGCGCCACTGCAGTGCTTCTATCTGCGTCTAATTTGAAGGCGCCCTTAGCAGGTAATAAATACGACTGTATTTATTAATAGAAACGGTTGGGTAGGGATAAGTGGAATTTAGTTTCCAGTGACGGTATGGTAGGGAAGAGTGGAAAAAAATCCACTTGTCCCCACCAGCGCGGATGGTAGGGACTAGTGGAATAGGCCGAAAAAATTGCTATTTTTTATTAAACTTTTCAGTACCGTGATAATCACTATGAAACGAACGCGGAAAATATGTCAATGTCATTATGTCAATTTTTGCAAAAGAAAATTCGTAAATTTGTTTTTTATTTCGAAAACACGTATGATAATTGGTATTCTCTAAACGCCTTCTACTTGATTGGTGAATATGTTACATTAAATGATATTATAGCTTATAAATTACATATACCTATTTATTCGTTTTCTTTGACATTTACGAAATGTTAATGTTTTCCCTTTAGAGATTATCAATTGATAACAACATGGAAAACTATAATTAAAACGTGAGATAAAATTGTTATACATAAACAATAAGTAATGTTGTTGCGCATAAATACGACAGTTGCGTTAGAAACACAGAAATGCGTCAAAGAATTATGTAGTAGACGATGGATGTAAGTAAACATTGCGTTTTATGAATAGAAAATATGACTACGGGTACGTCAGAATCGATCAGAGTGTTATCCAATGGATGGGCGATTGATACCACAGCTCCAGTTGACCTCAAAAGCTCTAAAGATAATGAAGTAAGTAGAATAAGTATGGACGTAAAAGGCCCCCTGCGGGTTGTTTGTTTCAAGATAAGAATGCCCTCGGTGACCTTATCATGTGCCCGAGTCTCGTCGTCTTTATATTCTATGTAAATTCTGCTGCAACTTTAACTCTCGTGACGCCATATATTTTTACAAGTTTATCATTGATAAAGCAACATTCCTACTGCGGGCTTCTAAAACTACAGTCATTTGTTATCGTGTGACGTTAACGCGATTTATTGCAGTGTTATAATATTGATTTTCGATTGTGATTATTTACTTTGAAAATGGAATCTGTTCTGCAGGTGTGTTTAGTTTTATTTATAATTTTTTTTGGAACAGGAGTATAAACAGTCAGTTTGAAGTGTCAAGTCATAATATAATAAAAATAAATATGTGCTAGACAACCACACCAATTGCCTGGTCTCAAACCGGGGAAATCCTTGTACTCTACCACCTTGTATCACCACAGCAACAAAATTCACTTTGAGACACTTCCCAGAGCACCCAGACCTGAACCAATTTAGAAAAGCTCATTTCCCATATTAATCCTACCGGGAATTGAACAAACTACAACCTGTCCTGTCCTGGACCTGTGCATCCAGTGCCCTCAATGTAAACCCTTAAGTCACCGAGGTTGTCAATAAGAAATGACTAAACATTAGTAAATAGGCATAAAGTTATTTAAACTCTTGTCCCAATATAAAAATATGTAGTGACATAGCAACATAAGTTGGAAGTTGATTAACCCATCCCGCATCCAAGATACAACCAGTATCTGTAACGATTTTGGTAAGAAATAATAAAAAAAATTGTAAATTAATTTATAAATTGTGAGTCTAGGGTATGTGACGGGTTAAAATTGCTACAAAAAGCTTTCCCTGACTTGCGAAGGCGAACTTGTTGGCCTCTAAATCTTGTTACAGGTACATATTTAGAAATCAAGCAAAACCTATTTTAATTTTTCCACATTTTGTATTTTAAAATGTACACTCCTACAATATTATATAATATAAATGTACATTTCTGCAATTATAATGTATATAATCGAAAATTATTATGTTTGTTTTTTATAATCCAGACTGAGTTAGATAATAAAGAAGATATTAAAAGACTTTTATCAATAAAATATTATCATAGAAAAGCCTAGAAACAACAACAATGTTCAGTAATTTTTACTGAAATTACTGAACATTGTTTTCTGTATTTAGTTTTATATAGTGTCCTACATTTTGCACTTAAACTAAAAAAAGCATGTAGTATAGCGAGTATTCCGAAGCAATGTAGAGTAATAGATCCATAAATTTAGCATTTTTTAAATATTGTTAGACTTTTGAAAGTACAAATTTCAGTAAATTTTCACTTAAAAGTTTTAACTTTGTTATAATTATTAATACAAAGATCGAACACTCAGAAAAAATTCCTTCGATCCGGCCCGATTCGAACCGACGTCTTCTAGCGTACCGTACCAGACGTTATACCAATTAAGCCACGGAATGAATCAGCGGACCTCACGAATTTTTCTATGTGCTTGTTGTCGTGTCTTTGTGTTTGGTTTTTAACGACGTTTTAGCCGGAGCGCCATTTGTTAGGAATCTATTTCTTTGTTAAATAACGCACACACTTTTAGCCCGCACTAGGGAAAGCCTGTGTCGCGTGTGCCATGGAAACACACATAGACAAAGACAAATTACACCCAAAAGCGAAAATTAGGCCATACAAATATTTTTCCCGGCCCAAGAATTGAACTCGAGATCTCTGCGTGGCAGACCAGTATGGTAACGATTCGGCCACAGAGGCAATTGCAAGTTAGTTTAAAGATAGCCAAGTAGGGCACATTATTTTTCGTAGGTAGTGATGATTTAACTCCTAGTTACAGTTACCAAAGCAACTCAGTAACCATCACATTTCTTTTATTTTTATTTATGATGTGATTAATTGGTTATTCCTATGATTTTTTTATTACAAAATATTTTAAAAGAAATAATTATAAATAAAAAATAAGTAGGTATTAGCGGTGTTATCCACAAACATGCTTATCAAGCAATTTGTTAAGGAAAAGTACAAATCAAATAATAGCATAGGTACCTATTATGATCTTTACTTCTTATCTGCCACAATTGATAGGGTTGCTAGGTAATTGATTATAACTTCAACATGTTATGTGACATTCAATAATGAACAGGTATTCTACTTTACAATAATTATTATGAACATACACACACACACGCACGCACGCACGCACGCACGCACGCACGCACGCGCACACACACGCACACACACACACACACACACACACACGCACACACGCACACACCTCACACTAAAAAAAAACAAAAACAGTATATAGACTACTTGGAAATAGTGTGGGCAAAAGTGGGTTTATCGCTGATAACGAATCTTCCGTCTTCCAGACGGCCTTTAAGGCAGAGGAGAACTGAACTGGGAGGGAAATTTAAATGCATTTTAACAATTTGCATTGTCATATTATGAAATAATAAATGACCATTATATTATATACGTACATATAGTTATTTTTTAGTGCATGTTGTGTTTACCTATAAAGTGTTTGTGGCAATTAGGTACATCGCTTGTATAGGTATGATAAGATATAATAAGTAATATTGTGCACAGACGTTGGTAAGCTAAATAAATAAATGAATAAATAAAATTAACTCCTCTTTCAATGCAAAAACACTGATAAAGTGTATGGTATGAACATTCTGTTGTCCTTGTAATTCTTGATAATTATTTATAATCGAATTATAGATTAAATTTGTTTTCCCGTTTATGTCACCCTTAATTAAACTTTGTAGTTTTTTGATAATAAGGCCCCTTGCGGTGCCCTTATCACACCCATTACCCCCAAGCGAGACACAGATACGCCTTATCCGGGGTTGCAAAGGTCGCCCTTCCACCTCGTCTACCCCTGATAACGTCTGGTATATATTACTTATGACTACGCCTCACACCAATTTATTGCCCTCAGTATGTAACCAAGCGCCTTACCGTGCACACGTCTCGGCAAAGTTTGTCTACTATATATATTGTTCTGTGCAGCTTACAATATTTACAGACTTTGTTTTCTTTATCCCTGATGGCTAAATTCGTTAATTGTGTTTTCCTGTCTCCCAATTAAAATCAGTGTTTGTGCTTCTGGACTCTTCAAGCGCTGTATCAAGTTACATACGAGGAGCCTCATTTTATTTTTAAAATTCATTCTGGCAGCTGCATACATGCATTACTATCACAAAAGCAACGTGGCCCCAAAAATGACCATTGTTCTCTTGTTCCGTGTAAATCCCATCTATTATTCCGACTACTCGGATACGATTTTCTGAAATTTTTTCTGCTGAAATACATTTATTGCCACTGGCTGTACCATTTCGAATACTACAAGTTTGGCGTTTACCCCAAAGATATCACCTGACGACAGTGATTTCTATGCAATCTACAGATTAGATTGTTCAGAATGGATATTGTGGCTAATGTAAGTTATACTAAATGAAATTCTTTACGCCTATGTACTTAATGAAATTGAAATATTCACTAAGAACTAGACCTTTACGCAAATTAAGATTATAAAGAAATAATGTAGGTAGGTAGGTACGTAACTCAATGGTCTATCGGTGATAAATTCTTTCTCAACTTGTCTGAGCAGAGTTCAAAGTGTATCGCTTGTCAAATGTTCCAACAATTGTTTATTATTGCAGTATCATCCCGTCTTCAAGGCGTTCCTCGCCGGCTCCTTTTCGGGTACCTTCAGCACTATACTATTCCAACCTCTGGATTTAGTGAAGACAAGGCTTCAGAATCCTAGCCAAAATGTACTTGCGGCGACCGTCGGGTAAGTTAATATTCCGTTTATTTAATATTTTATTACAAGTACGGTATGTTAATATGTAACGGGCTAATTCCTGCACCTCTGCGTCTCGTAGGTCCTATTGTGCATGTGGTAAATATAAAATATTCTAAACAGAAAGCGAATATTGAAATGACGTCATTCAACAGGCAATACTCGGGTTCGCATTTCCTATAGGTACCTAAAGCATTAACTCTACTTCATACATTATTTTTGCAGTAGTTATCTAGGTTTTTTTGATTTAGGTTATTGAACTTTCTACTTATAGTACCCAGTTATTTTTTACTTTTTACTGCGATACGTTAGTCGCCCTGCAAGCCTAACTTCGTGCGATGTCGCTTAAATTTTAAAGCCCGTAGGTAGACACGTATGTGTAGATATAGGTACCTAATTTGTATCATTTGCTTCTTCACACGCAGACAGACAGAACCGATAACTTTATCAGTATGGGAACGTGTTCATGACGTCATTATCGAAATTTCAAACTCTTGGCAAGCAACAAGATAATAATGAAGTTCGAGCGTTTGTTATCTAGGTGTTTACTTTGTAACTATTAGGTGCTTAGGTATAATTGTGAATTTATTATTTTATTATTATGATTGATTTGTTATTGGTTTAAAAAGTTTAAAAGTTGTTCAAATATATTGAGTCATAAAAAGGCAGACTTTTGAATACATTCAGCCTTACCTTATAAATAAAATGTTGATACACTTGAAACCTGTTGTAATGTAAAATTGTGTTTATTTACTTAATTTAATTACATATCTTTTTGTAAATTCTTTGGTTAGTTTTTGGGCGGCTTAATTAAACTAATTCATAGTTTTTTTGGCAGGATAATAGGCGGGTGTGCAATACCTATTAAAATGTTTAATCGCGTTTATTCCCGTTATATATGTTAGTAAATTTCAAAAAAATTCATAGTTTATTTTAACTAAAGAAACTTGTTGCTTAGTAAATGTATTTAAATAAAATTTAACTTGTAGAAATTTTAAAATTTTTGTAACGAGAAACACAATTGTCGTAGACGTAGTAGGCATAATTGTGGATATGGTGTGAACGAAGTCTATGAGAGTAACAAATGACAAACAAGTTTACACAGAACACTTTCCGAAACACTGGATCTTATGTTTAATTCCTATTTAAGTATGTCGTAGAAACATTTTTTATCATAACTTACTATTTATTCATTACATTTATTTAGGGGCTTTGATCACTATTGAACATCGTCACCCACATTGGAAAAACAATACATCAATAAAACATTTAATAATAATATAATCTAAGCAGATAAACCAATGTACTAGCAAACCACACATGTATATCAAATCTTCGCAGCACGAATTTTTTTTCTACTCATGTAAACTGTAAACAAACATGTATTAAGTACAATTTTTTTTTCAGCGGCCGTATTCAACCCGGTATGATAACGATATTTACAAACATCGTACGCCAAGAACACATAGTGGGACTATGGCGTGGTATGGTACCTTCGATCGCTCGCTGCGTACCTGGTGTGGGATTGTACTTCTCCTCACTACATTGGCTTAAGGCTAAGATTGGCAAGTCAAGGAACCAGGATCTAAGCGCTTTGGAGGCAGTCGCTCTTGGTGTTGTGGCTAGAACTATGAGCGGTGTCGCGCTTATTCCTATAACTGTTATTAAGACTAGGTAAGAGCAGTTCTATATTTATATGTAATATACCTTGTATTCATACCATTACTTTATAGCGAATTTCATACTAGAAACCGAAACTCTTTTTGGGTTCAAACATACAGAATCTTTTCGCACGTGTATATATAAATGTACATCTATATTATGTGTATCGAATAGAAATGTGAAATGACAAGAATTTTTTCCCTAGAGACATCTCTACATCACGATTCTTTTTCTTTTTATTCCAACATAAAACACAACCAGTTTATCGGATAATTTATATTGAAAGTAGAACTTTTTTTCTTAAATTGGCTAAGCGTGTCTAAATAAAGTTGTTATTATAATTTTCTTCATAAAGGAGTCATCATACTTATTCACACGGAATCGGCTTGAATCCGAAAAAGCTTCATGTCCTTGCCGTAAGAGCAAAACAGATACCTATTGCAGGTTTCGCTTCCGCTCGGACCGCTGACGCGAAACGCACAGCGTCCTTTCCCGTCTTATTACGTAACCATAAAGCCTTTTCTGATCTGCTTAATGCGATTCCGTGTCGATAAGTATGGTGAGTACCTAACACAAAATTGCGGTATTATCTGCTGCGAAAAAAAACACTAAAGATATCACGGCGAAACGTACATATTTCCCAATGCTAAAGTTCTCTGTTAAGTGGTCAATTTCTATAATCGACATTTTTACTTACAAAACTTTTACCTTGCAATTCTTTGAAACGAAATATATTCATAAAAATGTTTAGATTCATTAATTCGCTACAATGTCCATATAAAAACAAATACGTTTCATATTGAATTACTGTAAGTGCGTACTTACTTTAAACATGTAAGTCATTCAACAACGCTGTCATCATCACCTCTGAACCTATGACACTTACCTAGATGATAGATTCATTGATTTAATGTCACTTTGAATTACAAATAAGGATTATGTTTAATTGTATGTTTTGTAAGCTTTCACTCTTGTATTGGTTCATTTAGATTTTTTGTAATTGTTAACTAAGTAGGTATGTTAGCTCTGGTACTTACTACTTAAAAATTGACAATATTATTTTTAAACTTGTTGAAATTTAAGTTCAATGCTAACTGATCGCCCTTGATTGAACATCCAAATTGTTATTAGAGTAGAATACATAGTAACGTATAACGTTTGTATAGATCTTTTTAATAATTTTTATGCTAAATGACGTAACTGTATTATATACAGTGCTTGTAAAATGATATGATATTTACAGGTACGAATCAGGCGTGTATAAATACAACAGTTTGAGCGGCGCGTTGCGTGCAATTTACAAAACTGAGGGCATCCGGGGCCTCTCGTGCGGACTTGGGCCTACTCTCGCTCGGGACGCGCCTTTCTCGGGACTGTATCTTATGTTCTATACGCAGACTAAGCAGGCAGTGCCTAAAGGTGAGATTCGATTTATTAATTTCCTTTTAAATCTTGAAATAAGGGTTACCAACTTTTGTTTGAATTTTTTTAATATAGGACGCTTTATCGCATCGCATGTGTTTTTTATTGACGTATAATTTAGTTTTGAAAGTTTTCAAGTAAGGGTTTACCATACTTTTTATTTTTGAAGTATGGAACATTTGATGTTTTTTATGGGCTTCCTTGAGCTGTGTACGCAATAACATCAACAATAACTTACAACGTATTCCTATTTGAACAAACAAATGACTGCTAGAACTTTCTACTCTAAAAGATATGAATGTATTGTTGGATATTATCATTACTTAATTATCAACATACGAATGATACACACAATGTGATAAGAACGTTTAAAATATTTACTGACGTTACGTATTGACGTTATAAATTTTTGTTGTCATAAACAACAAATTTCGACTATCATTAAATGATATTTTTTATCTAATGCGGAAAGGAAACTCAAAATACACGTAAGGGTATTTTAGAATTATGTCGTGACGACTGATGATCGTGCAGTTTAAAGTGTCGTGGCTTTTAAATTTAAATGAAGTTATTCACACGTATCACAACACGATTCGATCGTTCACGACTTTTTTGACGTTACGACGACAGGCTGTCGTGACAATAGGAAGAGCTAGAACGACAGTCGTCTGACGATAAATAAAACGTCACTATAAAAATGTTACGACAGATAATCGCTATAGTAGCTAATAATAATAGCTAATAGCTTTAAACGAATCTGTCGTGGAACGACAATGCGGTCGCCGTGAGCCGATAAATTGTCGTCACTATCTAGTGGGAACAGCTAGACACGACAGTCGTTCAACGATTAAATAAACGTTAGGACATAATGAGAACGCGCCCTAACAGACGACGTATTCCATCTTCAACACAGCTTTAAAAGATGCTAAGCAAGAATACATGCGCTGTCGCTGCCGTTTATTTAAAGCATAACGCAGATAAAATAAATTTCAATACAAACTGACCTTCATGCCCACTTGCACTAAACTAAAGTTTGTCTTAAACCAGTCCTTAAATTAATAAGACACTCTTAGCACAATGTATTAAGAGTGTGTTTTGCATTGCTAGTATTGGTTTAAGACATTAATCTCGTGATTCATCCATGCTAATAAATACTTTCAACTCTACGCATTACAAATAAAACCTTCATTTTCTTCCACAGAATGGCTACAATCTGCAGGTGCTGGCAGCCTCATCCACTTCTCGTGCGGTGTGATGGCTGGAATCTTGGCATCATTGGCTACCCACCCAGCCGATGTGCTCAAGACCAAAATGCAGCTATACCCTGACAAGTTCCCCAATACTTTCAGCGCTGCTGTATACGTACATCAGGTAAGAAAACTTGTACAGAAATCCTAAGAATGACTGACGTAAAGATCGCTGGCTAGACTGGCTTGAATTTGGCGCTGTTGCAGAATTGAAAATAACATTTTTTCCATTGACAAAATTACACAACAATAAAATACAGTATAAAGGCTTAGTGAGTGTGACACGTGTGCCAATAGTACGCGGAGTTCCGCATACTTGAGCTCGGTCCACCATTTACGCTTTGTTCGTTATGGTTGTGTTAATTATTTAGCGCAAAATCTAGAAAATCGTGGAAAAATGCCTTATTTTGCTAAATGTACATTAAATTAACAGCGCAGAATTTGTACAAACTACGACCAATCATGGTATTAAATTCCGGGGGTCAATAGTAACTTACTAGTCCTACCCTCTTTGTGAAAGGAAGGTCACTGATACATTTTTATTGGTTTTATCCCACGTCGACCACTGTTTTCCTATGTGGTACGAATCGTAAGTACCGACAACTAAGTACCCATATTTTCTATTTGGTAGACAAAAAGCTAAAAACCAAGCATCCGCGCGGAATCGCTCATCTTAGTCCAAATTGTTGACAAGTTAACACAGACATTTGCTTCGCAAGTTTGTAACATTATTGTACACATATTTTTAAATTTAAACTTGTCATATAAATACGAAAGTAACTCTGTCTGTTGCGTTTTCACGAGTAAACCGCTGAGCCAATAACGATGAATTTGGTTATAGAGAGAGATGGGAACTAAGAGAAGGACGTAGGCTACTTTTTGTCACAAAAATAACTCTTAAGGTGGCTGAAATAGGAGATGAAAGTCTGTATGGCGAACCAGTTGAGTAGGCTACTCGAAGACTTACTCTACGCAGACCAAGTCGCGGGCACCAGTTTGTAAGAAATAAAACCACATTGAGTCCAATGCGGTGTTAGAAATGTTTTTCATCGTATGTCTCTTTGAAATTGATAATCATTATCAAGTAAGTCATGTATTCATGACTCGGGGGGGCACAGGTTAAAAAGGTCTTTACGAAGAGCGCAATTTATCAGGCACGCGTATTCTGAGTGCTTAATTAAACTGTAATTTGAACTCGTGCGGCTGCGGTCCCGATTATTTATTTAGTAATTAAGAATCTGATTAAACTCGCGCGGCTACGACATACGGCCATTGCGACAGGAAGTTGGAAATACTAGGAATGAACCTTAGCCGACTATATTAATGGAATGGAACCTATCTAGTTTCCAATTATTGAGAAAATAGTATAAATTCTGTTTACCTAATTGGCCGTATATTATTATGGTTTCAAAAGTTTTTTAGCTTTGGGCAATTTTGTTGTTTCATTTAACGTAAAACACCATATAAAAAACTTTAATTCGTCTCAAATATTAACAAAATTGCTTACAAGGTTGAGACCTTCTTTTAAGTATGAAAATACTTGTATCAGGACGTCTCGCTCTGCTATAACTAGTACGTAATTACTATAAAACAAAAAAAAACCATGGAACGTTAATCCTTTTGTTCAAATGTTTTTAGACTAGGAAAAGAATTAACAAAAGTATTGAAGGATACTTTTCTTACAAGTCTAGAATACTTCTGCGTTTTCTACTGTAGTATAGTCAAGAACACATCAAACTTGAACATGGGTCTTTGGACTGTCTCATCGTAATTTAAAATCGGCCTTTATTAAACAATAGTTTGACCGTCGTCTCAAAATAAAAATGCCTGTTAGTTATTTTTGCCGTTCAAGGTTTTTAAATAAAAAAGTATATACAGAAAATGAAGCGTATTTACATCGAAAACTTTGTAGATTGCCCACAAAATGACATATCTGTAAGTCGTGATTGTTTGTCACAATGCCGCTTAAGTTCCATAATTTCTGTGAATTTGTCATTGAAAGGAGAATCACAGAAATATATCTGGATTTATTTCTGTGCGGAGTCTTAACATAAGGCTGTATGGTAGTAGAACAGGCTCAAATAAATAGGCGATAACTTAAAAAAGAGATTCTTTTTAAGTAGTTTTTTATCTGTTGGGCCATGATCTGTTGCATTTTCTATTTTGAAGATTAACTATAAAAGTTCAAGTATGTTCACGCGATGACACGAGTTCATATAAATAAAACCATCATGATTAAAATAACTTTTTCAGTATTTATTTATTAGCAACCTGATAACAACAGTCACGTTTGATTTTTGGATTTTGGGCCGTCTAAGTGACAAGCTTGACTGACAGTCTCTTGACACTTTACAACATCGAATATATAACCAGAAACAGAGACGAAGTAAGGGCCACCAATCCCTGGCAACTCATCAGGCAAATGGGCCTTATATCACTTTTAAATATCAAGTCTCGTTTGCGCTTATATCACAAATTAGAAAGGTGACCTGTATGTACGTCTCCGTATATTCCAAAAATATTCTGTATTTATTGTAATAAAGATATTATCTCTAACAATGGGGGGCTGTTCTATTCGGTGGTGTGGGAAAAACAGTAAAACATTTAATTATAACGATTTGAAGTGAAACAATTTTGTCGACACCCATCAATTGTTTCGAATTCGGGCTGGCCAATCGGAGCGATGTTGTCACCGTAATGATTTGGCAGAATAGTTTTCAAACAAATTAAATGACATTTCGTCTCTATTTCTGGTTACATAGTCGATGCTGTACACAGACCTTATGGACCTTAAGAAAATAAAGGAAACACAGACCTATAAGTATTATTATGTTTTTACCGACAAACTACTCAATTGCACTTTCAAGGTTTTCTTAGTTTGTTTGTAAGAAGCAACGCGACGCATTGATTGTATTGAACTTATTGTAGCAATTAAGATATATTTGTCTTTCGATATTGACTCGTGTCAGATTAAAGGTTGGAAAGGTCTAGTTTCATAAGTGTATTTACTGACTGATGTTTATCAGCCGGTAAAAATAAACTTAATTCAAATGACTTGCTGTTTTTTATACCTATGCACTCTGTGATAAGACTCTCATAAAAATTTGGAGATCAAGGATTCTACATTTACATTCGCAAACTAAAATCGCACTCCTCATGGAAGAATGGCATAAGTGGAGTTACCTCTAAAAGTGTTTATAGCTCCATTACGTAGTGAAAAATATAACCGACTACCTCTCCAATTGTTGTAACTCAATCTACAATATTAGTCGATAGAGTTACAAGAATTGGTGAGGATGTGAGTTATATTTTTCTGTATCTAATGGAGCAATAAACGTTTTTGACTTAACTCCACTTATGCCATTCTTCCATGAGGGGTGCGCTATTTATTTTATTGAATACAAAATAATTTTAGAAATCTACATCAAATATGACCAACTATTATAGAGGCCACTCACACACAGTTGATCTTTTTAAACTTTTAGCTGCATCGATATATAGATTTTCGATATAGTGTCCTGTCGATGTGGCCGATCTAGGGGCCGTCATATGGCGTACCGTCGATTTAACAAACTTTCCTCGTAACGACCAATCGACGTAACGTTTTCGATACAAAGACCATCGATGTTGCGACTTTCGATATTGTGCATTAGACTTAGCACATTCATACCTATGAATATTTAAGAATAAAATTCATAGTTTATCGGAATTACCCCCGAATATAAATAATACAACGTCGTAATGTTTTATCAATAAAGTCTAAAGTTATTTTCTCCTCTTTACAGACTTACGGCTTCAGGGGTTACTTCAAAGGCGCTGTGCCGCGCATGCTCAGACGCACCCTGATGGCAGCTATGGCTTGGACTGTCTTCGAAGAAATAACTCGATCTATTGGCTTAAAATGATTAGCAGTAATTAAGAAAATTATTTGAACGAATTTTCGAACTGCCACAGAGCTTAGGTTGATAGTGCATGTGTGAAAGAGATGGCATGAACAACCTAAGAGAGAGATAGAAAGATCTATGGTGTAAATGTACGGGCCGCACTTGAAAATTGTACCTTAACTCAATGCATAGTCTTCAAATTTGTAGTCTAAAAAGTGATAGTCTGACTGTGGCACATAGCCACCTATTTTTATAAAATTATATATGTGTGTATAATAAATATGTTTTATCCGATAGAAAATGTTGTCAAAAAGTGTATTGATTACATTTTACAATATTGAAACGGTTTATGACAAAGAGATATGCTATATAATCAAGCATAGCTTTAACTGTCTTGCCATTTGAGAAGTGAGAAGCGAGCGTGGTGTACTGTTCCTTATTTTATCTATCCCAATAATATCGCTTTAGTTTATTTTTTAGTGTTTATAGGCTTTGGCTCAGTGCATATCCAGTCGGAGTAACACAGCCCCAAAAAAAAAAAGCGACAAACGGCGAGTTGCAGAAACGTTCTTTAAATTTATTGTCTCTTTAATACTGTACTTTGTTTTATCAAAGCAAAACTTGATAGCAGCAGACAGTGTGTTACTTAATGAAGCAAATGGATGTTTGTGCAACTGAGCGTTAACGTTTAATTTGGTGTATGTCGTCGCTTTTTTCTGTATTTCACAACAAAGTTTGACAGAAGTGTCAAAATGGCGAATCGCCTATTACAGCTATGGTAGAGTTTCGCACAGAGCCAAAACCTAGTATATATTTGTAAAGTCGACGAATAGCTTTTGAGTTAAATCTGACTTAAAAGCTAGTCTATACTAATTTGTCGCTTTTGTGTATACTCTTGTAGTTGCTCAATATTGAACATAATTATGTAGAAATGTTGATATTTTAATACATAGCTAAATAATAAATTAATCAAGCTTTTTTGTTGAGATTATATGTATATTAATTATTTTATATTAGGATTACATGATTATTGTGATATTGTTTTGTTAAATAAAGTATATATTTTTCAATATGTTTTTTCATTCTTTTACCTATTCACTAGTTACGACAATAGACGCGCCCCGTCGCGTTAGAGCGATGCCACACGAGAGCTGCCGGTGCGTTGCGTCGTTGCAACGTTTTGATTTCCACGCACCGAGTGCCAACGAACAATGCGGCGTCTTACGTAACGCCACTTACCCACAGCAACGCCCCTCCCCGCTGCGTCTACTGGCACCTTGTCCGATGCGCACGCGTTTCATCGCCGTGAGCCGTTTCGACGCGTCATGTAGCATGTCGTTCTGATTTATATACAACGCAACGACGTCGCGACGCCGATGCAACAACGGCCGTGTGGCCTGTTTTCGCTCTTATATATACAGTGCATGTAAAAATAATATAGATGCTTTACATAACACCAAAATATAATCTGGTTGTGGAGGAGGCTGGTCCCTGAACTAGGGAAACCTGTATCTCAAATAATCAGGTCTCCATCCCTGGGTATATATATATATATATATATATTTTATTCGCTATTCGAGCGACATCTCTCACGTCGATAAAGAAAATCTGCTCAAATAAATTAACATTTGACGTGGGCAACATACTCAAAGCTGGAGTTTGCTTTTAAAATGGCGGAACAAAAAGCAATAATATTCGACCAGTGTATCCTGCTAGTATTAATATTTGGGGCCGAAACCTAGGTACTAAAAGACAAAAGACAATTTAGACCATTGGATAGGAAACCGGTAGGAATTACACTTAAAGACCGCAAACAAATATGTGGCTCAAATAGGAAAGCATAGTCGCAGATGTCACCATACGCGTTATGAAAGTTAAGCGGCGGTGCACGGGGTCACGTTGCTCGAAAGACATGTTGGAAGGATAACATAAAGAAATTGGCGGGGTTGAATTGGATACAGACGGCACAGAACCGAGAGAAGTGGCAGAAACTGAAGGAGACCTACACTGATATGGTTGAGAACGGCTAGAAAGAACAGAAAGTATCAGTATTTAAAAGTATGTTTCATGTTTATATGGAATCTCTCGAAAAACAGTTTTCCGCCACCTGTGATTTTGGCGATTACCTCATCCGTGATAACGCAGACGCGTCCGTAGCGGAGCACCAATATATAGAGAAAAATTAACAGAATCGTTGTGCAGCGACGGGTTGTCACTCTGTAATTGGTCAATTATGATAATATACAGGTAAGGTAAAAAGTACCATAAAAGCTTAACTACTACAAAGTAAAACTAAGATTTTTAAATTATACGAAAACGCAGAGTCGGTACCTAATAATACGGCACGGAAGAAAAAAAAAGAATGGAAGTCCCTTAATCCTCAATTACTATCAGAACCGATGCCGCCAAAACTCATACATTCTTGATTCGAAACACTACAAAACCTTCATATTGATGACCAATAAAAAAAAGTAGTTTCAAATTTTAAAAGAAATAAGAAATTCTTAATTGTTAATATGATTTAAACTACCCTGTTGGCTGTTATAATATCATTGGCTGTTGGCATATCGTTAAGAGTTCAATACCATTCAATACTTAGACCACACCCCGGACTCTCCATACAACAGTCGAAAATCATTTACCTACTACTACTACATACAGCAAATATAATATCTATATATTATATTGCTACACAGCAACTATTATATAAGTCTGCACATGTGCAAATGTGTGCGTGAAGTGGCAGGGTTACCCATCACTTTCTTGCACTAAGGTACTTGCGGTAAACATGGGCCACCTTAATTCAAAACTAAATATTTTGTTTAATTATGGAATACGAATAAAAAACAATGCATTAGATGAATATTTACTTTATTAAGATCACGAAAAGAATATTGTTTTTGATATCACCCACATTTCGTCTTCAATATTAAGTCTTTTTTTAAATCCTTGCCTCCTTTTTTAAATAATGGCCACATTATTAAACCTAGGTTGTTTAATAAAGACCATAATCATAAGTAAATTTTTTAAATATTAACTATCATAAACACAATATTTTCTAGTTCAGGCTAGCTTTAATTATCATTTGGCATTGAATCACACTTTCAACCCATTTTAAATAAGAGGAAAATCAAAAGTGGGCCATTTTAAACTGAGGTAACAAAAAATTGTATAAAAAAGTATTAATTAACTTAGTACCCACAAAATGAACACATATTTAAAGAAAGTATTCGTAACTCTATATTATATGTACGTCTTTGACAGAAACAAAGAAACATTTATTTTTTTCAATGAATTTGTGGCCCTTATTATACTTATGTTCCTAATGACATCCTATTTCAATGAACGTATAGAAAAAGTACACGTTTATTTAGTAGTTAGTTTTGTTGCCAACAAATTTTGTAAGGATGGGAAAGGATAACAAGTTAATGAAGTCTGAATATACTACTGCACTGAAAATTCGACTGCGTGTATATTTCACACAATTTGTCCGACTGGTAAAATTTACTGTCATGTCTAGAATGATACTCGCTATACTAATTAATATTCTATCATAAACCAAAATCTGATCAGTCATTCGAGATATACGGAAAAAATACAAACATTAGTAGGTTAACATAATCCTCCTTTTAGTTACTCTGCAATTGAATCAATAGTTTAAACAATTATAATACACACTTGCTTATTTTTAAAATGCTTGATAATCCGAACGTCTAATAAGGGCCGGCCTATTTACTCGCCTCGTATGTGGCCCTTATTTCACTTTGATCGTATTTTCATACGTTTGTATAAAAAAATATATAAATATTAATAAAATTATTAAAGTTAACTTTATTAGTCGACACGATTGTCTAATCTTAACTTTAAACTAGAAAACTTTATAAAAAGTTGTGTATTTTACACAAAAATTGACGATTATTGTGGAGAAAATTATACTGCGCAGTGACAGACACCTACTACTTCGACGGATTCGTGGCTACTGACAAGATGGCGGATCGCGTGATGACGCACCTGCGCGCAGTAAGTTTCCTATTGGTCCTTTACATGTGTGCGTAAATAGTATCCATAAGGAACGTTAGAAGATTGTTTTTGTAATCGTGGCCCTTGTTAGACGGTGGCACTTGTTACCCGCAGGTACCTTATTACGTTACGTGATCAGAGTGGCAACAAAGCGAAAATGCTAACGCGAATCTAATATCTATGATTCTATTAATAGAATCCAGAATCCTAATAATTACACATGTCTATTATGTATTTATATCGATATAATATCATATTTTTCATTAACTCACTAACTAGAGTAATATTGAAGATTTATTTAAAAAATACATTAAAAGCACTTAAAATGTTATATTTTGGACATGTACTTTTAAATAAGGTATTTGAAATTGCGTGTCCAAGTTGATCATCATTATTTAGTTAATAATTAGGTATATTCGCTACTTACGTAATATTTATCGGCAATATGAATTGAAAATTCGAGAACCCTTGTCTACTGGCTAGCTCACGACGTCACGGCGCCTCATTATATTGATATAATAAATCTGTTTTTTTCATATGTACATTATACACGCAAAATAGGCGCCTTGACGTCGAGTTGCGGACACCAGCCCGTTACACCAAGTACCAAGTACATACTCTGCAGTAAATAAATGAAGAAAACAATAACTGAATGAGTCTCAGACATAAGTTTTTTTACTTACCTACTTCATTTCATCTTTCGGAAAATGATGATAAACAGCCGTACACAGCACTATTCACGACCATTATAAATAGTAACGTAAAATAACGTTTTATATTAACGTACAAGTTTCGTATTGAATCAATGAAAACTATATTCAAATATCAAAGCCGTCTTCGCGTGAAAACGGCTCGTAGGAAGCCTTGTTGTCGTTCAGTCAAAGTGACCGGCAATGAGCGGGGCGTGGTGCGGTATCAAAAGCTAGGGAGGGGCGGAGAGTGTCTGTTCTTTTTACTTTTTGTTCTCTGCTTAGAGTATGGGGATTCGCTTTGGGCCTTTTGGAGGGAAAAGTGTCGTTTTTATTTTGACTTTCAATTATTTTGTGAAATCTAGTTTAAAGTGGAATAGGATAGTGCTATTGTGCCTTAATCGAAGATTAAAACGCGAAATTATACGAATCTCGAACTAAAATACCCGTACTGACCCGTTCTAAGGAATCCCGAGTCAATCCAAGCACATCGCCTCAAATTGCCTATGCTCTTTGTGGCGGCCATATTTACAGAAACATAATGAAACGAAGACATGGTTCAAAGGACTTTTTATCCAAGCCAAAACTATTAATAATAAAAAAACTTAAACTATGGAAACTAAAGGACATGTATGTTGACATATATAAATCAGACGTTATATGTATATGATACATTTCGACAAGTTATGACATTTTGACATTACATTGAAATTTCAATCAATCCAAACAAAAAGCGACCATAAGCTTTAATTTCGTTTCTTGTAACAAAAAAAATATCTATAAACAGAAAATTGAAAATTTATTAAAATTAATACTTTCCGATGGTATGAAATAGCACTACGGGTAATATGTTAATAATAAAATAATAATAAAATAATAATAAAAAAAAAAAAAAAAAAAGATAGGTCTTATAGGGTCGTATTCTAGAACTCTACTCAATGCTCAGGTCAGGACTTGAGTATGATTCAAAGCACTAGAAATCATACTCAAGTCCTTGCCATTAGGGTCGTATTTCCAGTGCGTGAATTTGAGCAGTGAGTACAGTTCTGGAATACGACCCTCAGAGACCTATAATTGGCACGGGACGAACGCTAAATAACCACTTCTACTGTATTTATTGTTTTGTGGTATGTGTCTGTCGGTGCTCGTCGTGCATGCCAGGAAATCTGTAAAATCACGGACCGGTGGAGGCAGCCTTTAACCATCCTCTTAGACACAAAATTGAAAACTGATCTACAATAGCACAGTCATGCATCACTGGCAGTAAAATTAGTCAAGAAAACAAGCGTGTGTAACAAAACTATTGTATATTACATAATTTCTACATTATATACACATATAATTTACAATTTAACTAGAGCCCGGC